ACACACATAAGCCATAAGTGAGCACGCTCTCAATGGCACAGTGATAGAAGCCAAGAAGAAGAAGAAGAAGAAGAAGAAGAAGAAGAAGAAGAAGAAGAAGAAGAAGAAGAAGAAGAAGAAGAAGAAATACTCTTGATATTTAATGTGCTCTTTTTCCAAACTCCTCTAACAATGTTAAGATTAAGGACTTTAAAAACTAAAATAGAAACAGGTTTAACTTGTTTACATAGCACACACCTGAAACAGCAGTGAACAAAGAGTACTAGTCCAGCTTCTCTGTTAGCCAACAAACACCTGAAATCCAATACTTAGCTTGCGAACAGTGGATCCCATGTATGTCAGTTTGGGATAAAAGGGATTGCATGGAGGATTATGCTATTGGTGGCTGCTAGCCACAATGGCTATCTATTGTTCTACCTCCACTATTGGAGACAGAGTGCCTTTGAATGCCAGTTGCAGTCAGGGAAGAGGTGCTGTTGTACTCAGGTGCTGCTTGCTAGCTTCCCATAAACATCTGGCTGGCCACTGTGAGAAGAAGAAGCTAGACTAGATGGGCAATTGTCTTGATCCAGCAAGCTCTTCTTATCTTCTTAAGTTTTTGCCTCGACTTTCAGAATCCTGCTTGCTGAGAATCACAATTAGGAAGAGTGCTGCTGCTCTCAGGAGGGCTTCCCACGAACTTTGCTTGGCAAAGAACAGGGTCTTTGGTCTGATTCATCAGAGCACTTGTAATGTTCTTACCAGACTTCTGGCCAAATCCAACTTTGTTGTTGTTGTTTAGTCATTTAGTCATGTCCGACTCTTCGTGACCCCATGGACCAGAGCACACCAGGCACTCCTGTCTTCCACTGCCTCCCGCAGTTTGGTCAAACTCATGCTGATAGCTTCGAGAATACTATCCAACCATCTCGTCCTCTGTTGTCCCCTTCTCCTTGTTTGTCTTTGTCCATGGAGTTTTCTTGGCAGGGATACTGGAATGTCTTTCCGGTTCCTGCTCCAGGTGGATCATGTTTGGTCAAAACTCTCCACTATGACCTGTCCATCTTGGGTGGCCCTGCACGGCATAGCTCATAGCTTCTCTGAGTTATTCAAGCCCCTTCGCCATGGCAAGGCAGTGATCCATGAAGGGGCAAATCCAGCTGGAGAGAGTCTATCATTATCTTGATCAGCAAACACTTGTTTCTTTAAAAGCTAATATTTGCAGATCCCTACTTTTCATCACCATCTAGTTTGCTTTAAAGCTGGCAGTTTTTCAAGAGACAGTGGTCTGGAAATATATCTGCCGGTCAGGTTTCCTTGTAAGATTAAATTTATATAAACAGAAATAGTTTGCATTATTTGAATAAACATCCACAAATTTATGAATAGAATATATGACAGATAAGGTAATGATACGTATAATTTTTATCATGCAGAGAATAACAAGTGCAAACAAATCAGAGAAGGGAGCTGAGGGGAGTCTCAGGAGGGAAGGAGGGAGAGGGATGGGGAGTGGGGGGATAAAAAGGGGGAGGAAATAATGCAATTGATTACTTGGATGGATAATTTGTTTTGTTGAAATTGTTTAATAATTATTATTTATTTTTTTAAAGAAATGGTTTGCATTGAATGTTAAGCTTGCAGCGGTCTGGGATTCTGCAGCAGCCAATTACAAGTATTTGGCACAATTCAGAAGTCACAATTTAGTGTAGTACATCAGTGCCCCTGTTCAGATGTGCAATGCTACCCAAATGCCCACCTGTAGGAGTGAGCAAAGCTACTTGCAGGGATTATGTGAAATTGCACGTCTTTGTGGAGCCTTTACTAACACAACTGACCTCTTCAGAATATGTCCTGTCCCAGTTCACATGATCTGCAATTCTACACCCTAGTGGTCCCAGGCCCTAAGGAAGTTAGATTGGCTTCAACCAGAGCCAGGGCCTTTTCAACTCTGGCTCCGGCCTGGTGGAACGCTCTGCCTCATGAGACCAGGGCCCTGCAGGATCTGATTTCTTTCCGCAGGGCCTGTAAGACAGAGTTGTTCCGCTTGGCCTTTGGCTTGGAGCCAATTTGATTCCCTCCCTCCCTCTCTTTTTTCTTTTCCTTCTCCTCCTGCAATGAGGCTACATTTTAATATTTTAATGTTCCATTATTTTAATGTTGTATTTTATTTTTGTTTTTAAGTTGTAATCATTCTTCTTGTTTTTATTATTGCTTGTAAGCCGCTCTGAGCCCGGCCTTGGCTGGGGAGGGTGGGGTATAAATAAAAAATTATTATTATTATTATTACATGGTTTCCTGCTGGATTGAAAGGCTGACAGGAGCTGTTCCATTTCTCCCACCCCTGCCACATGGCTCAAAATTTCACCTTACCCAGGAAGCCCAAGGAGCTATCCAGCAGACCAATAAGCACTCTTTGTTAGGAGCGGGTGGCAGGCTTCAGGCTTGCAGGGTCTATTCTTCTTGTAGTTTTGGACTAGAACCCTGAGATCTACCAGCCAGAGCCAAGCACAAAATATAGACACACACACACACACACACACACACACACACACACACACTGAGAGTTTGGGATGGTCAACTGTTAATAATTGCTTTTGTTACCATGTTATGTCATGAGTTACAAAATAGCTAGAAAAGGACTATGAAGTTCTGAAAGGGTTTCAGTTTATTTGTGTGTGTTTTAATTTTAAAAAGAGCCATATTCATTACAAAAATGCTTCAGGCAATTTGTAGGACTCCTCTGGATAAAAGCCCTTCTCAGGAGTCCTCAAAACTGCATGATCCACTTTTGGATCAAGACCCTTTTAATTAGGCTCCTTATGCTTAGAGTATGCAAACCTCCAAAAAGAGAATGGAAAAACCAGCATGTCAGGAAGGATGCCACACAAAGTTTACAGTAGCTGATCAGCAATCTGAGAAGAAAAGCAACCAGAGAAAAGAATTACATGATGTCAGGGAATCTGTTTTTTTCCAAGTACCAAAACAGAATGGAGATTGCACACACACAAATCCTTGCCTGAAGACTGCAAACATTGTTCATTTCAGCTACGCAATTTAGGGCCATGTTGTTGTTGCTGCTGCTGCTGTGGTTAATTGGCGGTTGGAAATCCTTGCTGAACCACTGCAAATCACCCAGAGCCCAGCAGCTGATCCCCATCTGCTTCTCTGTCCATCCTTCTCTAGATAGTAAGGAAGCTGTCCAGCAAATGTCTTAGGGAGCACAGTAGCTGCTCAGCTCCCTGCCTCTTACAGGGCTGTTGCTGTTGCTCTTTCTGGGCAATCCTGAAAAGTAAAAGAATGTTGAACCGCTTTTCAAGGAGGCTGCCAGCTGCTCCACCCTCTTGGGAATGGGGAAGGCTGAAGCTCAGGGACAGAGCATCTCTTTGCATGTGTAATTGCCCAGGTTCAATCCCCTCCAGCATCGCCAGGTAAGACTGGGAGTGTCCCCTGCCTGTGGCATTGGAGAGACACTTCCATTTGTAAGGCAGCTTCCTGTGGTCCTAAGAATGAAAGCTGGTGGTGGCCGCAGCAGGACTGCTGGGGGTGGTGGTATAATTGGCATTGAGGGGCACCAAAGGTGGCCAGCCCAGCCCCCGTGCTATCTATATTGTGTAGTGGTTAGAGAGCTGGACTAGGACTTGGCAGAGTTGTTGTTGTTGTTTAGTCGTTTAGTCGTTTAGTTGTTTAGTCGTTTAGTCCGACTCTTTGTGACCCCATGGACCAGAGCACGCCAGGCACTCCTGTCTTCCACTGCCTCCCGCAGTTTGGTCAGACTCATGTTTGTAGCTTCAAGAACACTCTCCAACCATCTCGTCCTCTGTCGTCCCCTTCTCCTTGTGCCCTCCATCTTTCCCAACATCAGGGTCTTTTCCAGGGAGTCTTCTCTTCTCATGAGGTGGCCAAAGTATTGGAGTCTCAGCTTCAGGATCTGTCCTTCCAGTGAGCACTCAGGGCTGATTTCCTTAAGAATGGATAGGTTTGATCCACCTGGAGCAGGAACCGGCAAGCCACTCTAGTATCCCTGCCAAGAAAACTCCATGGACAAAGACCTGGCAGAGACCAAGGGTCAAATCCCCACTTGGCCATGAAGCTCACTGGGTGACCTTGGGCTAGTCCCTTCCCTCTCAGCCCAGCCTTCCTTACAAGGTTGTTCTGGGGGTTAAATGAGGAAGCTCCTCAAGCTCCTTGGAGAGGCAAAAGGTGGGATAGAAATGCAATAAATAAATACAAACAAATAAAAATTGTGTGTCACGTTCCTGCAAATTACCATAGTGAAGGGCATCAAATCCACCATCAAAATCTATGATGCAACTACAGTGGTACCTCCGGTTACAGATGCTTCACATTTCAGACTCCGCTAGCCCAGAAATAGTACCTCAAGTTAAGAACTTTGCTTCAGAATGAGAACAGAAATTCTGCGGGGGCGGTGGCAGGAGGCCCCATTAGCTAAAGGTTAAGAACAGTTTCAGGTTAAGAACGGACCTCCAGAACGAATTAAGTTCTCAACTCGAGGTACCACTGTATTTGTTTGAAAGATGGCAGACTTCAATCCTTTAGAAATGGAGGCGACTGGGTTGGCAAACTCCATGTACTTCTTCCATTAAAAAATAAAATCAAGTACGGTAGTTTACAGGCGCGTGTTGACAGTACTGCTTGTTCTCAGCTGATTTCTCAAACACCTGAGATCTCCGCTTCGCTCCAAGACGAAAAACTTCCTTCCTTGGAGGTTGGACGGGCCATCCGTCATGGATGTTTTAGTTGAGATTCTTGCAATTGGGGTGGACTAGATGACCCTGGGGGGTCCCTTCCAACTCTACAGTTCTATGATTCTGAGACGACACCGCGCGCTGCTCAGAGAAAGAAGTGGGCGCAAGAGGCTCCCTCCCCAAAGCAAACCGAAGCGCCCCTCGGTTCCCTCCCCGCGGCGCTTCTGCCCTCTGCCAGGAGGCGTCCACGGCTGCAGCAGCGCCAGGCAGCCAAGCGGAGCAGGCAGAAGCAGCCGGCGGCAACGGCGGCTCCACGTGTCAGGGCGGGGCGAGGCAGCGCTCGGGCTGGGCAGGGCTGGAGCTGCTGCGCGCTAGCAAGGGAGCGAGCGAGGCAGCGGCAGGCAGGCAGGAGGGCGAGCGAGCGAGCGAGCGAGGAGGCTGCTGCGGCATTGACGGCGCCTCGCCTCTGCCTCCTCCCCTGGCCAGCAGCTCAGTGCCCCGCGCCACCTCCCACCGCAGCTGCGTCGCCGGGTCCAGGCGGGATGGGACCCCTCCGGGAAAGCAGCAAGGTGGGCGCACGGCGGAGGGGCTCGCAGGTGGGACGGGGCGGGATGGGACACCTCGGGGAGAGCCGCCAGGTGAGGTAAGAGGGCTCACCGGTGGGGCTGGCGAGGAGGATGAGGAAACCAGGATGTGCGTTTGTGAGTGCAGGTCCGTGCACGTGCAGCCCCAAAGACACGCGTTCGGTGTGTCGCGTGTACGTGTGAATACTTGCCATAATGTGTGCGGGTGAATGCGGGGTGCTGTATGTGCTGGCACCGGGTTCAAGCTTTGGCTAAGGCAAGAGCGGTGTTTAAGACTAGGATACACCAGCGGGAAAAGTGGGATGATCGATATTTTCACTTTCCCCTCCCCTCCTCATCTCTAAAATGCCCAGCAACAGACGCTAAAAGAGCAAACGCTGCTGAGTCCGCCCCTGATGGAGTCTGACATCATTAAGGCAAAATTTGTGGGATTCAGGGTGTGTGTGTTTATTTGAGGAAGTGAAGTCGAATAGGGTGGATGGGGATGTGTGGGGCAAAGGCAAGGGATGGGGTGAAGGAAATTCTTAAGTGAGGGTCCCCAAGCAAAGGGGAGATGAAGGGTGTCTCTCGCCCTCCCCACCTTCCTTGCAACAGCATCACCCAGAAGAGTGTCCCTCGAGTCCATCTCTGATGGAGTCTGACATCATCACTGCTGCTGTGCCCCTGCCGCAGATTTTTCTCTGGAGTGGAGGTTTTGGGGGGGGGAGCAGGGAGAGACCTAGCTCACAATTACGTCACCCCAAAACTGGGAAGACTGACCAGAATCCCCATTTTCTTTGGGCATTCCTTCCCCCACCCCCTTTGCATTTGCCGGAACCTCTTGGGGGCTGTAGCCCTGCCGATACAGGTGGCAAGGATGCTGCAAACGGCTGCAATAATTGCCTTTCAGTGCTTTTCCAGCTGATCCAATTTTAGCACAGTAATTGCAGTGCTGGTACTCGGTAGTCTCTGCATAGGATCTGTGCATCTCCCGTCTGGCAAACCTTTCGCTTTTAGCTGTTGACTTCTGCTTTTTTTCTACCTCTCCGGCAGGGGAGTGCGCTTCTGTGTGGATACTCACATGCACATATTGATCGAACAAGGCTAACCCCCATCTGCTAGGTGTGGATACAAGAGGGGGCTTTTTATGGCGATATGTTGGACTGTTGCACAAGAGCAAAACTCCAGCGTTTACAGATTGCTGGAAAAGCCCTGCGAGCCATTTTGCACATTATGACGGAGTTGCCTCAGCAGCAGCAAATCGCATCTTCCTAGCAAGTAGACCATGTGACGAATACATATGCTTGCAAAGATGCTTGCCACATCAATGTCTGCATGTGACATTTCCCACATTCTCGCCTCGTTTTTAGCTCTGCTCAGTTCAGCAGTGGCATAACAGCCGCTGCAAATCGCTTCCGCATGGGCAGAACCACAGTTAGGCTGTGTGCACGACATACATTTAAAGCACATCGTCTAACCTGCACAGAACTACAATTCCCAGCACCCTTAAAAAACTACAGCTGCCAGGATTCTTGGTGGGAGGAGGAAGGTAATGTGCTTGGCATTTATGGTGCACAGAACCTTAGTACAGTGGTACCTCGGGTTACATACGCTTCCAGTTACATACGCTTCAGGTTGCAGACTCCGCTAACCCAGAAATCGTACCTCAGGCTAAGAACTTTGCTTCAGGATGAGAACAGAAATCATGCTCCAGTGGCGTGGCGGCAGCAGGAGGCCCCATTAGCTAAAGTGATGCTTCAGGTTAAGAACAGTTTCAGATTAAGAACGGACCTCCGGAATGAATTAAGTACTTAACTGAGGTACCACTGCATCATGTTCATCATCAGTGTAGTTTCAGTCTACATCAAGGAAATAAGATAAGAAATATCCAGCCCGTCCATCTGGCTTTGTACTGCATCCAGAATTTTAGGTCCAGGATTTTAGCTACTAGCGATGATGACCATGTTCTGCCTCCACAGTTGAAGGCCAGCCATGCTTCTGAATACCCGTTTCTGAAAACCACAGGATGGGAGAGTAATCTTGTGCTTGGGTTTCTTGCTGGGGGTTTCCTACAGACATCTGCTTGTCCACAATGAGAACAGGATGCTAAACAAGATAGGCCATTGCCCTCATCCAGCAGCTCTTGTACCATTGAGATGGCCCTTCCATGTGGCTCACTCTGGCCAACTGGAATGCTGTCCATGGGCAGCTCCACCTGAGCAGAAGCAGTTTTTGGTGGGGATCATACCATCATAGATTTGGAAGGGACCCCAAGATCATCAAAGTCCAACCTCCTGCAATGCAGGAATAAGCAGCTGTCCTGTATGGGGATCGAACCTGCAACCTGGGCGTTATCAGCCCCATGCTCTAGCCAACTGAGCTATCCAGGGGTGTTAGCTGATCTGCTGACTCCATACATTGAGCCAGACCTTTGGTTGGGGCAAGGGCTGGGAAATACGCATGGACTGATGTGCCCGTTGTCTCTGTCATTGGAAGGAGCACAAAATGCAGGACAAGGAGATCTGCCGCAGCCGCATTCCTCGCCTGGTCCTCCGGCCTCATCTCCCCCAGCAGCAGCTCCGCCACCAGAAAGTGTCCCCGGCGTCCGAGTCGCCCTTCTCGGAGGAGGAAAGCAGAGAATTCCACCCCCTCAGCTCTTCTGGAGGGTCTGCAAGGACCATCAGCAGCAACAGTTTCTGCTCAGGTACTAGAAGAAACAGTGTGTCTGTGGCAATGCTGATATTATAGTCCAGAGATGAGGAACTAGTAATAATAATAATTTTATTTATACCCCGCCCTCCCCAGCCAAGACTGGGCTCAGGGTGGCTAACACCAGATATAAAACAACTGATTAAGATACAACTTAAAAACTAGATTAAAATACAACATTAAATGCAGCCTCATTTCAATAGAAACTCAAATCAAAAACTTTTTGGGGATGAAAATGTCAAATCTTCACCAAGGCCAACTATTCAGACTGGTCCTACGTGGGCCAGAAAAAAGCCAGGGAAGTCCCCAAATAGGAGTTCCATCACAGAAGGAGAAAGGAAAAAGGAAAGAGGGGGAGGGAATCACGTTGATTCCAAGCCGAAGGCCAGGTGGAACAACTCTGTCTTATAGGCCCTGCGGAAAGAAATCAGATCCTGCAGGGCCCTGGTCTCATGAGACAGAGCGTTCCACCAGGCCAGAGCCAGTGTTGAAAAGGCCCTGGCTCTGGTTGAGGCTAATCTAACTTCCTTAGGGCCCGGTACCTCTAGGGTGTTGCTATTTATGAACCTAGTAGGCATGATAGCCATGGTGACTATGTTCTGCCTTGACAGTTGGTGGCAGTGATACCAGTTTCTGAAAACCATAGAAGGGCAGAGTGCTCTTGTGCTGGAGTCTTGCTTGAGCATTTGCCATTGGCATCTGGGTGGCCACTGTGAAAGCAGGAAGCTGGATTAGATGAGCCATTGGCCTGACCATTAGGTTCTTCTTATGTTCTTCAGATATTGTTGAACTGCAAGTCCCATAATGCCAGGCCTTTGGCTATTTGGGAGAGAATATGGGGTATTTATTGGAAAATGAAAGTAATAGACACATTATAATTGCATGTTCAAGGGAACGTCCTATCAGATGTCAAGTAACTGTACAATCTTTAGAGGATATCTGAAGGCAGTGCTGCATAGGGACGTTTTTAATGTTTGATGCTTTATTATTCTTTTACATTTGTTGGAAGCCACCCAGAGTGGCTGGGACAACCCAGTCGGATGGGCGGGATAAAAATAAAATTATTACTAATATTATTACTATTAGGGGAGGGGGTTGGTCCTCCGCTCCTATCAGCCACTGCCATCATGGTCAATGGTCAGGGATCATGAGAACTGTAGTCCAACAACAACTGGAGGGGTATAGATTCCCCATGCATTTTAGCCCAATTGTTTTTCCTCTCTACCCAAGAAAATAGAATTAACTTCCCTAACGGGGTCAGTGGTAGCAAATACACCAACTGAAACCTGTTGAAAATTAATCAGTTTGCTGCATAATGGGAGCCTGGGAAGCCAGGTCCAGCTATATCAACATTGTCTACACTGAATGACAGCAGCTCTCTTTAGGATTTTAGGCAAAGTTCCCTCCCAGCCCTGCCTGGAGGTGCCTTGAGTTGGACTTGGGATCTTTTGTATGCAAAGCAGATGCTATTTCACTAGGCTGCAGCCCTTCTCCAGTTACTTTGTCAGAAATGTATCCCAAGAGGCACCAAATATATATTGCTGTATTTTTCCAAATTGCCAATTGCCTGGCTCCGTACAGTGGAGCTTTAGAGAGAAATAAAGTCACTGTCAATGAAACTCAGCTCTGAGCACATGAAGCATGTGCCGCTGACTGAAATCAGATGTTTCTGTTTGGATTAGTAAGTGTTTATCTTGAACGCCGCGTGGAAAAAAAAATTGGCATGCCCATTTTAAACAGAGCTGAGGTTTACACACTTGGAGAATCTTGGTGAGGTTCACCCAGGAGCAGCTTAGACCTGCGAATTTAAGTTTGCATGCAGAACGATAGGGGTAATTGGTTCAGGAGAGTACCGATTTACAGTTTCAAAAGATGGTTTCTAAAGAGAGCTTATATCCAAAGGTGTTTCTAATCCCTGTCTCAATTATAAGTGACCCAGCAGATGTCATGCAACAACACTGATTCGTGACACCCAACCTCCCACTGATTCACTGTGTCACATGTGTGGGTCAGTAATCAAATCATGGCCATCTAATACAGGTGTATGGAACTTTTGGCTCTCTAGATGTTGCTGAACTACAACTTCCATCATCCCTGGCCATTGGCCATGCTTGCTTGCTGGAGCTGATGGGAGTTGCAGTTCAGCAACATCTGGAGGAGCCAAATGTTTGCTGCACCTGGTCCCATATAAGCAATGTTGAGTCTGGAAATTACAGCGTGCAAATGAAAATACAGGCTTGCCCCACCTCCATCCCTTGCAGATATTGATACTAATTTGACTAGTGAGAATTTTCCTATAACCACACAGTGGCTTAGTATTTCAAGTCCAAAGACAATTTGGAACAATTGTCCAAAGAGAGAGTGTACAAGGAGGCACAAGGGATTTCTTAGTTATAGGGGAACATCTACATTGCTAATAATGTACATTGGCTTTCTAAGAACTCAAGTCAAACCTGTATGCAACATCACTGTTCCCATTTGTGATTCCTAGCAACTGGTTATTTAGAGTCCTACTACCTCTAACAGAGAGGGATGCGGGTGGCACTATGAGTTAAACCACAGAGCTGAGGACTTGCCAATCAGAAGGTCAGCGGTTCAAAACTACGCATTGGGGTGAGCTCCCGGTGCTCGGTCCCTGCTCCTGCCAACCTAGCAGTTCAAAAGCACGTCAAAGTGCAAGTAGATAAAAAGGTACCACTCCGGCGAGAAGGTAAATGGCGTTTCCGTGCGCTGCTCTGGTTTGCCAGAAGCAGCTTAGTCATGCTGGCCACATGACCCGGAACCTGTATGCCAGCTCCCTTGGCCAATAAAGCGAGATGAGCGCCGTAACCCCAGAGTCAGCCACGACTGGACCTAATGGTCAGGGGTACCTTTACCTTTACCTTACATCTAACAGTGTGCTAGATCATGGCTGCTAACCACTGATAGCCTTGTCCTCCATGAATTTGTTCAATCCACTTTCACAGCTATCCAATTCAGTGGCCATCGTTGCCTCTCTGGGGAGTGAATTCCGTAGTTCAACTTCATTCTGTGTGGAGGAAGTACTTATTTTTGCCTACCACTACTTTCACAGCTTCCCCTGGTAGGACTTAAAGTTCAAAGAGGGTGACAAGGATTCTAAGCAGGCCTCCGGCTCTGTCTTTCAGAGGAGAGGGAGCGGCTGTTAAATAAGCCCGCGAATGACAGTGCACGGCAGTCGCAGAGCCGGGACTCCAGTCATAATTGGTGCCAAAAGTAGCCCTGCTAAGCTTTTCACAGTTGGGTAGGAGGAGAGCTGGATTGGCAGGGCTGCTTAAAGAAAAGACTTGCTGACTCATAAAGTATAACCACATGTGTGGAGAAGTTACAGCCACCCTCCCTGCTGTACCCATCTCTTTTGCTTTAAGTGCTTCCCCAGCGTACTCCCATTGAAAAAAGGAGTATGATAGCAGACAATTGCTGGCTGGTTGTGGTGGGGGTGGACAAGTGAAAATGGGCATAGGGCTGTGGTTGTCCTACTCTTCTCCCTTCTTATGACTGCTCTGCTCATTTAGTTGGTACCTTTTGGGTCTCTGCTGTGCTGCTCTGCTCTTCCCCTAACTCCTTGACTTGTTCAGAACATCCCGGGTTCAATGTACAGCAGATCTGGGGACCCCCAGTACAGTCATACCTCGGGTTACAGACGCTTCAAGTTGTGCATTTTCGGGTTGCACACTGCGCTGAACCCGGAAGTACCGGAACGGGTTACTGTACTGTACTGTTAAAAACACTGTACTGTTTTTAACACTGATTGGGAGCCGCCCAGAGTGGCTGGGGAAACTCAGCCAGATGGGCGGGGTATAAATAATAAATTATTATTATTATTATTATTATTATTATTATTATTATTATTATTATTACTTCCGAGTTTCGGCACTCACGGCATGCACAGAAGCACTAAACCACACTTTGTGCATGCGCAGAAGTGCCGAATCATGACCTGCGCATGCACAGATGCGGTGCTGCCTCCCACACGGATCACTTTCGCAACCCGAGCGTCCACTGTACTGGGAATGACCCCAGTTTGAAGCCTTGCAGGGTGGCTGCCAGCCAATGTAGACCAGAGCTTCTCAAAGGGTGTGGCAGGAGAGAATGGCAAGTGTGGCAGGAAGATTCAAGGAACATCAAAGAAGCATTTAAACATTTCAGTGTAGTATGGTAGAGTATCAAAATATTATTATTATTATTATTATTATTATTATTATGCAGAATATGGATAGATATTTTTTGAAAATGAGAGCAAGAGCAAAGATTCTTTGTGTTGATGAGGAGATGAGAGTTTGTTTGTCTCAAATTAGGCCTAATATAAATGAGATTACCCAGCAAAAGCAAGTTCACACCTCTCACTGAGATTGTATACATACTTAAGGTCCGTGCTCCCCCCCCCCTTAAAAAATGTTTAGGGGTACTCTCATTTTGTCTTAAGAAAATCACAATTTTATAGTTCATATCAGGAAAAATAAATACAGTAAATGGACAAAAGTACAAAGATTCACAAAATGTGTCCCCCCAGAAAAAAAGCACTGCTTGAGGTAAATATGTAAGAGGATCATTTATAATTATATTTTAGGAACAATTTGTGTTCGTATGTAGCTGCATTGTTAATAATAATAATAATAATAATAATAATAATTTATATACTGACCTGTACCCACAGGTCTCAGGGCGTTTCACAGGGTGAAATTACAATATTAAAACACAGAACACATAATCAAAATAAAAACAGAAACAACTGAAGAACACCCCCACCCCCAAAAAACCCCCACACCTTAAAAAGGCAACCAAAGGCCTGGCTAAAGAGGAATGTTTTTGCCTGGCACCTAAAGGTACACAATGAAGCCACCATGTCCCATGATCATATCATAAAGTAGTCATCTTCTATGTTATAAATCAAGCACTTCTTGTTGTCTCCCTGCCTCATGTATTTCTTATCAATTAAAAATCAGTCTGGCACGAGCAAATTTTTATTGTGAAAGG